CATTGTTATGTTTGGTGTAAACTAACATTGAATGTAGAGTCCATCCAGATTTCCCATAAAAATCAGATTTTGCTTCACGAGCTGACTGTGGTAAAATCTTCATTTTATAATCAACTACAATGATTGCACCCTCCTCATCAAGAGAAAGCAAGTTAGCATTAAATTGAGCATTAAGGTATGTCTTTCTTGCCTGGTGTGACCAATAATATTGAAGCTTATTTCTGTTATTAATAATTTGTTCTAAATCATTTGGCATAACCTGCATTAGTTGATGAAACCATTTTGATATCTTATTGCATTGGTTACAGTTAGAAATATGGGGATTGGTACATTGTCCAAAAGCATATGGAAGACAATGCTCAAGACATTCAACATGATAAGTATTTCCTAGGCAATCCACTTCAAGTTCTTTTTCATATTCACGTTTTAAATGACGTTGGATTGATTCAAGTTCTGCAATTAATTGATTCTAACAATATATGAAATTATTTCAGTATTTGATTGTTAAATATAACTATTATAAAGCATTTACTCACCTGATGATCTTTTTCATTTATTCTCCCTGATATTAGGATTTTCACATCATCAAATACACCATACCCATACTCAAAACAAATGCCACACAAACCTCCCATATCTTCCTTATATAAAAAAGAACCATCATTCAAGCGTTTTAAAAATGATGTCCTTTTCATTCCAGATGGATGTAGTTCAAAGTATTTTCTCCACAATGTTTCTTTTTGATCTTTCAAATATTTTACAGGATCACCAGTTTTTTCATTTACTCTATAAGAACTTAAATTGACAATATTTTTGTCAGCAAAAAAAATTTCAAATTGTCTTTTAGCTTCTTCAGTAATTCGAACTCTTGTAATTATTGGTTTTTCAACTCCTGCACATCCTGGACCATTAACTTTGGAATGCAATCTTGCTTTGGATATTGTTTTAGATGACACCTATTTTATTCAGAGAAGTATAAATTGTTGCAATTTAATCATTAATGGCATTACTATCAATAAGAATGTTATGATGTTTATGTACATCTTAATGAACTTAATGGATTTTGAGACTAATGATGATTTTTTTTTTTAATGAAATAACAAGGATTCAATTTAAAATTCAATGGAAAAACAATTTTATTGGATATACTTTATTGTAAATAATCAACATCAAAGTATGATGTTATTAAACAATATTTAATCTTAATGATATTACTCAAAATTTTAAATCAAAAATTATTTCTAATAAAAAATTATCATCTAGATTATAAAATCTGAGGAATTTAAATATTTTGGAGAACTCTTTAATTATAACAACCATCATTAATTCATTAATCCATTGGGCCATCAACATTGTTCAATGTCACCATTGATACAAAGCAATGATGAAATGTAGTTCAAATATGCATATTAAAATAAACTTACCTTGAGTTTTCTTTGAAGTTCTTCGTATTGAAATTCGCTTGCAATTATTGACAATATTCTTATTTTACCATCATAGCCTGTTTTGTTTTGTTCCAATGATTTATTAAAACATTCCCAAAAAATATCAGCTATAGTGAAATCTATTTTTTTTTCACATTCAAAAAGCCATTACTATTTAAAACCTCCAAGGTATCTTGATCAACTGATGGATCAAAGCTTCGAGACCAAAATTCATGCTTAAATTCATCAAAAAATTTTGTATTAGTTCAAATCAATGATAAAATATTTTTAATTTTAAGATGATTTTAAATCCTGGCTCAAGATGATTTTGCATTAGTTTTTTAAGAAATTGATTCCAGTGAAAATGAAGAAATTAAAAATACTCATGCAAATCTTGAAAATTATGAATTTAGAATAAAAAACTGAATAAAAATTACCTCTAACTTGTCTATTGAAACTGGTGTGATTTCTGTACATCCGGTAGCCCTCAACATTGCACGCCATGCTCTCATTTCACGTTCACTAAATTCATGATTGTATGGATATAAATTTTTTAATTTTCCATGCAGTTCAATAATTGTGCTTTTTTGCTCTAGCCAAGATTGAAAAACTCTTCTCCAGTCAATATTAGGAATTCTTTTTTTCAAATTATAATTGAAAATAGCATCCATAATTTTTTCGTTATTCCAAGATATAGGTGTGCATTTAGGAATTTTACCAATTTGTATATTTTGTTTGGTCATTGGATGTTCCAGCCCAAACAACTGCATTCCAGTGAATTTTTTATAAATCTTTGTATTTTCCCATACTTCTGATGGTGTAGATCCAAAGAAAAACACTGGTGATTCAATATTATCCACATATATAGAAATTTTGCAATGATCATATTCAACAGTTTGAATAAACAAAGCACGTGTTCTATTATATTCACCTATAAATGAAGAAGTATAATCAATTTTGACACCAAAATCACTCTCTTCTCCCATGCCAATATCTATAATATATATTAAAAATTTGTCAAACTTTATAGCAAAGGGTTGAAAATCTATATCCTTCAGTGAAGCTTCCAATATTTCTTTGTTATCCCAACCTAAAACCAAAGGACCAGAAAAATTTGTATTTGAATTAGGATTTAGCCTTTTATATAAGCTTGTTATTGCATTACTAGGTGCTTCTTCTATATCACTAAACTTGCACCCAGAACGACATCTATATCCTGGTAGTAAATTACTAGTTTCATTGCCTTCAGTAATGCATGTATAATATTGTCTGCCATTTTGTTCTATGCTAGTTTCCCAACCAACTCTCCTTGGATAAAGTAACGCACCTTCTTCTGGTTTACTTTTACTCTTCATAACCCACCAATCTCTTGAGTTTACACCATAATGCAAGTGTGGCTTTATTTGGCCTATTGAAATGAGATTTATAGTTAAATTGGGACGGTTAGTCATTTTAAAATTTTTAAAATTAAAATCGGCTCAATATTATTTTTACTAATTAATTTTATTATGTTTATTATCCCCGCATTTTACTGTTAAAATGTATGTCGATCCTTTCCGTCTATCGCGAATTGCGAATTAAATTATAAAATTTTTAATTTTTAAATATTTTTTTATTAATATATTTATATATTGATAAGTTACATCACTTCAACTTACTAGTGCTATAAAAAAATGAAAACATTGATTGAAAAGGTGAGGAAATAAATAATACTGCTATTATGTATGTTTATGAATATTAAAAATTACATTTATTTGTTTATCAAAGTCATGCATATTTGACATCTGAATTTTAAAATGAAAAGACAATCCAAAGATATGATAATTGCAAGAAGACATTACCTTTATATAATATCATTATTAAATATAAATGATCAAATGAATCTAAATATTTATATCCATTATATGAGAAACTATAAATATAATAATTTATAACATATTAATGTTAATATTGATACTAAAATTTAAAATTAATCATTAATTAATTAATAATTACCATCATTATTACCAATAATTGTTACTTTATTGGAATTCACAGGTTGGGGGAGGTTTGTAAAATTTAATAACCTGCTAGTATAAAATGCATTTGGATTAATTACTGCAGTAATTGTTGAAGGATCAAATTTTATTTCATCCATTTTCTCAAACTCTTCTTTAATTGTTTCATATTTATCACCTAACCTATAGTCATTAAGTGAATCACGCCAAATTTCAATAGTCTCATAAATTTCTTCAGCAGTTGGATGTTTATATGGATTAGCATTCATACATTTGAATGCTAGTTCAATATAGAATTTTGGTGTATTGTTTGAGAATCCAGGTCTTGCACCTTTACATATATTCATTGCAAGATATTCATCATGTGCCAAATTATTAAATGGTTGTTGACCAGTTGATACTACAGACATCAAAACTCCAAAACTATATACATCTGATGATTTTGTATATGGTTTCTTTTTTAAACTTCTGGTGCAATATATGGTAGTACTCCACATATATCATTTTTGTTTGATGATGATGTTTGACTAGTATGATAATTTGTTGAAACTGTAATAATGTTATTAATAAATATAGCCAATGTTTTAAATTTATTATTCATAATTACTAAAACTAATAGTGTTGACATACCAAAAATTCAAAATTAATTTAGAAATGGTTATTAGGAAAACAAGTTTTTAAACGCACACAACGACATCACTCAGGTCAAGACAATAGTCTATTTTATTAATTCGAAAAAATACAAATAGGACAACCGTCCCCACATTTTTTTTTTTGTTTTTTTCGTAGAGAAATTCCTCTCAGGCTGTTGAACATGAGAATGAAATTATGTGAAATTCAAATTAGCCAATCAGAATTTCACCCCACTCCATAATATTTCAATTTCACATACAACAAGGCCATTTTAGTGCACGGAACTCAACTTTCTACGACGTCCCTGTTCATCTTCAAGCAATCAAGTTTACAGATGGTGAGCACATTCAAACCATGAAATCATTTATCATTATACAACGTTATACAAGAAGGTTAAAAAATAAAAATACCACTGCGCCGAGTGTTTCATAGCATTATTATAATAAAAATACATGATTCAATTGATTCAATCATTTATTACATATAACAGGAGAGACCGTTCTGGTAGCACAAAATTTTAATCTACACAATTGTTGATCGACCAATCAAAATCGTGAATTTGATAACGTAAAAATAAACGTTAATATAAAACATTGATATCCATCAAAAGATTATTAATAATGATAATTGTTGCGCAACAATTATTTCTGACCAGATTTTACTATTAATTAGAATATTTTGATGAATTTTCTAACATAAATAATTATATTTTCTAAAAATAAATAATTAAAATATGATCATATAACAATTGTACATTGTCAGATCATTTAATCATACACACCTTTTAATAACAGTAGTAGCATAAATGCTTGTAAACTTGAGATAATTTCCATCTTTTAGTCAATTGATATTATTTATTTATACACAGATATATAAATAAAACCATCGATAATCATTAATGAAGCTTTAATCAAAAATAAACAATTTTTTCTTTTCTTTTAACTTATATACTACATCATCAGAACCTGCTAGTATCATTAATAAATAAATACCTTTTTAATTTAATCATTACATTTCTAAATATATATATATATATCTTGGCGATAGTATGAAAATTAATAATTATCGAATTAATTTTTCCAATTTGTGTGACAAATTTAAAATCTGTAGAAATTCTATCTGTGTCACTTTCTTCTGTGAGCTTCTATATAGGAGAAGCGGGCAGAATGGTTAATTAATTACAATTAGAATAGGAAAGCATTATTGCACACGCATATTAAACGTATTCATTTTCTAATATTTATATTTTCACAAACAAGAGCTAACCAGAACCCCTCCTGTTATTCCTGCTACATAAAGAAAATGAATTTGCATCTTGATTAAAATTAAATTATATCAGTTATTTTGCGATACGTATGAAAAAATATTATCATAGATTGATTGTGACTGTGAGATCTTTAAAAAGTTTACTGGCATAAACAGCTTTTTCATGTAATTTTGTAATGATTTTGATTAGTTGGTTTGAATTTTCAGGCTTATAGAATAATCCAAATTCATTGAATTAGTTTTGGGGGCAAATATTAATAATTTCATTAAATCTAAATCAATTAAATTAATAATATTTAAACATTTTAAACGATTTTTAAAATGAAATAAGTCTCAATCCCATGGATATGTAATCATTTGAATAATAAATAATAAATTCTATTATAAACCTATAATATTATTATGGAATATACATATATGTGAAAGTAAATCAAAAACATTAGGAAATCATATGATAAAAAAATTATTGTAAAACAATGTGAAAACTTTATCAAATCTATTGAAATTATTGTAAAAAGGTCACAATCATAAACATTTCATTACGTGGATCTTTGTTAATTATATTTTTTCTATCAGTCAATGTAAAGACTCCAGACAAGGCTGTCAGTTTTTGGTCTTTTCGAGTGGTCTGAAATGCAAAAAAAGACGAAGAAATAACTAACGACTGGCACCGTTCATTGCACACAACTAAAACGAAACACGACTTCCAATAAAGTATTTACTTCTCTCGTTTTGAATAAAAAGAAAAAAAATTTTCGGTTGAATAAAAATAATCATTTTAATTTAATTAAAATTTATTTCCAAATTAGGTAAAATATTTAGTAACATAAATCAAATCGTTATTTGTTATTATTTTATATTTGTCAAAATAAGTCTACAAATTGATTTGCGGAATACTCACTCCGATAGGCGATTTTTTTCCCACGAGTGACTTTTCCAATGAGGAACTTGTTATTCGCAAAGTAAACTCCGTAAATAAAGAAAAAAATAATGAAGTATCCAAATAGGCAGTGTCACGAATTTACCCTCGGCTTGAACAAAGTGAGGAAAGGTAGCAATGTTTGCAGCTGGTGTAAAAATTAGTGTTGGTTTCCAAAACTAGAGAGTTTCGCAACCGTGCGAAAGTCAAAAGGTTTCACCATAAGTCGAAACTAATTTTGATTTTTGACTATTGACTTTTGATTTAGTTTTGGTATATAGCTTTTAATTTTAGTTTTGGCTTTCATCTCTTCAAAATAGTTTTGGCGACCAACACTAGTAAAACTGCAATAAAGAAAAATATTTTTACAACACAATCATACTGAAAGCAAACACTCGAACGGCCTATAGATATTGATGGCCAAAATTTCTCTATTGCTTATATAATTACATTTAAAATTACTTACCTCACATTAACTTGCTAATAATGTATAGTAATGTACTGGTACCGCACATAATTTTTAGTTTGAGTTTTAGTCACTAGTTAGAATGTGTCATCTTTATTTTTTAATATCGTTCTAAACGTTATTGTTAACCTCGAGAATGAATAATAGGCCTTATTTACATTGCAAAGAGACAAATATTAAAAGTTGCACACAAATAATAACAATAATTTAAAAGATGTTTATTTATTTATATCAATATTTGTATTTATTTATTATGATTTTAAAAATAGAAATTAATTAAATGGTTAATTCGTGAAGGCAAGGAGCATATCTCCATCATATTGCGCCTGTACTTTAGTAAAAGAAACAAATAAATATTAACAAACATACATATATATATTTTCTTATGCCATTAAGTTCTTCTTAGAAATATTTACACATTATTTCAAATATTATGGATCATGAATTAATAATAATAACAACAATAATATGTGTCATGTATAATTAAGTACTAATACAAATACACATGGGTGAATAATGTTCATTTTTGTATTCGAAATGTTCCATGAGGCTTTTTATTTTTTTTTTACTATATGTTAATAATTGATATTAATATATATTTATTTGTGTACGAAATAATAAAAATCAAAACAATAATCTAAACATTTTTGGTTTTTTCACAAAATTTAAAAATTTTAAAAAATGGAAGAATAATATGTGATGGATTGGTTGGAAGAATAATATCGATGAATAATCTCACTATTATTACTTGGTTCTTCTCTGTAATTGCCTTCTTTATATGAACTCATACCCTTAAAGAAAACTTCAGTAAATTCATTTTCTGTTGGCTCGTTACCAATACCGTGATTATTAATATTAACAACAGTATTGATGTTGTTATTGTTGTTATTGCTTTGTTGGGGGCTAAATGACTGGTTGAGTTGTTGCAGATGGAATGATCTTTGAGTCGAATGGATGAATTGAACATGATTATATGTGCCTTTAGAAACAAAGGTTAGTGGTGAAATAATCTTTTCATTATTAACATTTTTAACCCATCTTAATTTTTTTCCGCTTGAACTTGTTTTAGTGATGTGACTATTTGTTTTAAACATTTTTGCAAAATTCAAAAATATAATTTCAAAGGTGGATTAATGCTATTACTTATATAATATATCAAAAAGTTGGTTGCAAGCCTGTTATAGTATATATTCAGTCTTATTAAATTTATTTCTTGTTGATACTTTCATGTCTCAAGTTTGTGGCAAAACATTTTTTCTCTATATTTCATCAATAAATCACATCAAGATAAAGAGAGGCGTTAATCTGGTATCAAACGATGCCTTTAACTCGTTTAAAACTTGTTTACGATCCAGTGTTATAAAAATTAGTCATTGCATCTAATGATTATCTGTTCTAATTATTGTAATTAAAATTACAAGTTAAAAAATAAATAAATAATAAATAAATAAAAAACGTTTCAAGAAACATACTACTATTAGAGAATTTGTTCCACAGTCTATTAATTAATTAGATTAAAATCTTTTGTTAACGCGTTTGTTTATTTATATTTTAAAAATAACCGATCCGCGTTTACTAAAAATAATAATAATCAAATCTTTATTTTTTAACTTATTTAATATGAAAAATAAACAACAACAATAGCCAATTTTATATGTAAATTATCAATGTATTACTTCGTTGTAGTGTTAAGACCTTATCTGGTAGTTAACGGATTACCGGGTTGTAACGGGTTAACGTTAATTATTCATAATAATAACGGGTTGTTAACGAATTATGGATAGCTTATTATCATTATCATTATTATTATTATAGTAATAGTAATAGGATTTGGTGTTACGTTAATCCGTTAACAATCGTTAACTCGTTAACGATAATATCAATATTAACATTACAATTAATAATTCACTGATCCATTAATATTAACAACAACAATATTAATTTTTTTTATGCCGAAGTGAGGACTTTTTGACCATGTTTACTTATCTAATTAATTCATTATGAATTCTACCTATATATTACTATTAAAATAAAATTAATATCACAATCTTTTAATCCTTTTAAGAAAAAATATTAAATTATTTTTCAGCAAAAAGAAAAATTTTAAACAATATAGAGAAACATGTTATTAATATTATTATTATCCAATAATATTTGCTATTTTAACGGGTCCATAATAATAACGTCAATCCGTTAAAAATCCGGGAACTTGATAATCTACAATATTATTAATTAATATTAAATATATTTAAAAACGGAATAATAATGATTGGGTAATTTGACACAAATAACTACATTGTTTCTGTTATCCGCGCCCATTTATCTATCTAATAATAAGAAATAGATATATAAATAAATATATTATACAAAACTATTAATTTAACAATAATTAGATTTTGTTTCTTTTGCCTGTTCTATTTATAAACAATAAATATATTAAATAAATATATCATACAAACTTATTAATAATATAATAATTATAGAAAAATTAACTACCACCTCTTGAAATCCTTTTGATGTCCATCCATCTTGAAATATAAATTTCTGGATTTTTTAAAATTTTTAAATATCAACAATATAAAAAAGATCGATAGTCGATTTTGTCACTTTGTGACATACAAATGCCATAATATTTTCCGTATAAAAAAAAAGCGCAACGTGATAATGAAGAGGAGAGGAACAAAAATAAATTTAATACTAGAGTAGAAGAAAATTCAGGTGAGTTTCGTATTGACAATGAAATTCTATTTGTAATTTTTGTGATCATTCCGTTGATTGAACACGAAAGCCAACAGTTGATGACCATTTTAAGAGCAAAACATATAAATAAACTAAGAAATCTGTATGAAAATAAACGACATAAAACTTCAACAAACATTTGTTTCCTAACTTTCTTTCTTACCCTGAATCCAAAAAAACTATTTAATTGAAGCCCTTACTATATAGCAGATATCCCTTTAAAAAGTCAAAAAACACTGTAAATAAAGTGGTGCTATTCTAGACGTCATCTTTTTCGCACATGCAAATTTTTGTATATCATTCAAGAATTAAATGATCCACCTAATGTTTTATTGGATGGACGGGCGATTTATTGTTGTGGATCCACATTTGATGTTCTGGATTGTTACATTAGATGAATACTGGTTAAATATTGTTATCCAATTTATCTCGAATAGCATTGAATTATTATATATGATTGCCAATTCCTTCTTGTAGCGTAGAACGACAAAATTTAATCTTTATCGCAGTTTCAATATTAGAATTTCTATTTTGTAAATACTTATTATAGATAAAAGTGAATAATATTAATAACCAATAAAATAAATTGATACAGAATTACTTCAGAATATATTATTATGCAGGACACAGTGTTTTTTAATGTGCAGAACTTGTCTTTAAATATTAACATTTTATCGTCAAAGAAATCATCGTCCCTGAAGAGGTACTATATACTACTGGAGAAATTCTATTTTACATTATAAAGAAGCAATTTATATAAATAATAAATATTAAATAAAAGATTATTCATATTTATGGATTCATTTATTAAAAGATGTTACATGAAATAATGATTATAAATGAAATTTTGTCTATATAAAAATGAATGCCAAATCAAATCCAAATTTGAACTGCTAGAAAACACATGAAAAACAGTGTCCCACCCAAATACATTAATTATTATTTGAACAACAATAATAATAATCTTTTAAACAGTCTTCTCAAAAAAGAATTAAAATAAGTATTAATAAAAATAATAATATAAAAATAACAAAATAATACTTAAATGTGTATAATTTATACACATTTTTTTTTAAAAAAATAAACTTAATTTTACAAGCCATTGGAAAAAGGATGATATGTGAATTGGTTGCAAGAATAATATTGATGAATAATCTCATTATTATTATTTAGTTCTTCTTCATAATCGCTTTCTTGATGTAAACAACTCATGTTTGGTGATGTTCCATTAAAAAAATTACTGGTAAATTCGTCTGTCAACTCGTTATCGGTGTCTCCATTAGAACCAATATTAATATTAACAATATTGTTATTTTGTCTTGAATGGATGAATTGAGCATGATTATGCGTGTTACTGTGGTAAACGTCAGAAACAAAGGTTGGTAACTGTGGCGGTGGCGGTGGCGACGATGATGATGATGATGATGATGAACTTGTTTGAACAATGCTAATATTATAGAGAAATGTCATTTTACGATTTTCTTCTGCCATTTTTGCCAAAATCGCAAAATAAATTTTGATTATATCCAACATTCTCCACACAGCAGACGTCATATGCGAAATAACTTGTACAGAAAACTTCTCACTTGGAAAGGTTTTTCTAAGATATTCACCGAAATTTTTTAAAAAAACTGTCCAAAGATTTTGTGATTTATCACAGAAAGAAACCAAATAGTCAATTTTCATTTTCACTATTTCTGGTGGTGTTTCAAGTACCTTTGATAAATTTGATTTTTTAATAAGAAATCTCACTTTCTTTGAAAAAATATCCATTTTTTTTTTATAAATATCTTAGGAACAGAAATTTCCAAAGCTATTTATTTTATCTGTAATATCTATAATATTTGTATTAATTAATTTCTGTTAATTGGATTGATTGATTATGATTGTTTGATTGCAAGGTAAACTGGTATTTAGTAATCCGATAATCGATAACTTATAATCGACCTGATTTGTTACGACAACTTGCTTATTTACAAGTAAAAGTTTCATAAATAGTCTAGGCCTTATTGCCTTGTCATTCATTATTGTAATTTGCTTTTGAAAAGTCCTTGATTGATAAATCAAATAAAGTAAGTAATTAAATGATCAATAATTAATTTATCAATCGATAATCAATCAACCAATCAATCAATCAATCAATCAATCGAAATAAATCTAGAGTACTAATCAGCCAGGCACAGCATTGTATATTAAAAATAAAGTTCTAACTATCTCTAACATTCAACTTCTCAACTTGCCAAACAGGAACATTAATTTTCTTAAAAACAGTCGTACATATTCTAAAAAGGACGATTATATCGTATCGTGAAATCAATGTGTGGTTACATTTAGACAAATGGATAGAATAATCCGGTGAATGCTTTTTTATTGAACAAAAGCTGCATATTTGTTATTTTTCCATGTAACGAGGGAATTAAATGCGACCTTTTGTGAATAATAATAATCCATTTTTATATCAAGGTTTAAAGATCATCAATGTAATTATTTTGCTAGACCTTCTTTTGACCATCTTACTCCTAAACACTTAGGGATGGTGCGGTTCCGCTCCGCTCTAATAGGTGGAGCCGCTCTTCATTACACAAAAATCAAAATATTATTTCACAGAAAAACAAGTTATTCAGCATCTGAGGCAAACCCACCATCATCAACATCAACACCATCGACAATATCAACAATATTAACATCTGCAACAACATCAGAAGCATCAGCAATATCATTAATAAGCACTGTTCAAATATTAGCGATAGTAATTTCAATTTTAAGTGGAATAATAGTGATTGCAATAGTAACATTCATAGTTATAAAATTATATCGAAAGAAAAAGAATCCAGTTCCAAGTGATGATGTTGTAAACATTCCTAGTGAACAACAACTTCAACAATATAGAGACTCTCAACTTCTTCCTAATCCACTAAGATAATTTTTTAAGTAATAATTTTATATATTTATTTATTCCTAATTTAATAATTTGTCATATGATTATGATTATTAATCTGGCCAATAAATGATAAAATAAAACAACTTTTAACAAAACGTTTTATCTACCAAATAAAAAGTTTAGCTCAGGTCTTCTTGATCCGTTTGCAGATTTAAGAATAATGAAGAAATGATGTAATATATAAAATTTAATTCGGAAAATCTTAATGTTAATTATTCTTATTTTGAATACAGAAAATAACTGATTTTGATGCAGTAATTTTTCATTGGCTAAATCTAACTTGTTTTCCTTCTCAAGCTTTTCATGTCAATCTTTTAATTATCACTCTTTCAAACTCCTCTTGATATTTATCCTCAAGGAGGTTCAAATCTGAGAAATGTGGATTATTTTCCTCATAATTGATGAGATTAATGCTTCATTCCTCATGTCTTTTGTGTAGTTATTTCAAATCTATTGAGATTTAGTGCTCTAAAGAAATTATCCAATTGCTCTATCTTTTTTTTTATTCATAGCCATTCTATCATGGCTTCCCTATCTTTTACATGAGCATCTCTTTACCATGTGGAATTAACCTGCATGAGTTTAGCTTACTGTGAGATCATGTCTGAGTCTCAAAGATGATTATTTATTTATTTTATACCAATAATGTAAATACAATTTCTCCCAATTTATTTATACAACAATTTCTGCGAATGTATATTTATGCTTTACTCTCAAAACTATCTTTCATTATCGATTCCTTGTTAAACAATACTAAACAATATCTTCTTTAGATTTCACACTATATCCTGATCACATTTCTTGGTGGGTGCCATTCTTAGCTGTTACTCCCTACTCAAGTCAGGTATGTTTCCCAAAACTACTAAATAAGATTCATTAAATATCTCCTCACTAAAAGAGAAGAAAAAATAATAAAAAATAGATACAAATGTGTTTATGTTTTTAGGGAGCTATCAGTTGTAAAACAAGTAACCAACATTTTAATTATTGAGGCACATCTCAAGGGGACGCCTTTGAGATATAATTATTTACATAGAACCTAGGGACCCTTTTATCCAGGAAGATAAAAGTCACTTTTTATTAATCTTTGACTGTAAGCCAGCGGGTAGGCTGTGTGCCATACATATAAATAAAGGAAACTTGACCGTAAGTCAGCGGGTAGGCTGTGTGTTGAGCATTGAATAACCTATTAATTAGGAAGCTCGGATTGCACACTCAAGTATAATTTTTATTATATTTAAATTATTCAGATACATGCATTAAATTCTAAGATTTTTAATATTAATAAATTATTTAAATTATTTATATATTATATATATTATATGATATATTGATAATACATCACTTCAATTTGTCAATACTATAAAAAAA